GGAAAACAAGGTGAGGGGGGATTTCTTCATGGTAATATTTTCTCGTGCACATGCTTGAAATTTGGTCTGGTCTCTTAGGAGTTGGCTTGCACTTGTTTGGAACTGACAGGTCACAACTCCATGTATTGTGCAATCTCTGTTTAGTCTAACCCTTGTTTCCTCAAAAACATCGCAGGGAATGTATTCTATGCAAGAATGGATGTGGAAAGATAAGCCAGCAGGTGCCACTTCTCCCTTATTTCAATATTTATGGTGTTTATGGTCTGCTGCCAATTAGTGGGTTATGGTGCTAAATCTCAGCGTTACTATAAATTTAACTTGGCCATTCTGTTTTTTGACCGATGAACCTTCACAACCTTCATGATGGAGCGAGTCAGATTTACATTTTTTTTCAAAGGCTTATCGTTGTTATAGTTATGAGAGCTCAGATGACGAGGGGAGTTTAGAGTAAGGGTGGATTGTGAATCACCATGCCTATGGATGTGCTTTAAGAGTATTTATTATTGCTTACGTCTCACTTTCTTCCTACTATGATCTCCAGAAATTCTGGATCTGACATTTATAGTTTCTTGACCTGCAGGGATTTAAAAATGCATGTTAGGTTGAGCTTTGAGGTGGTGCACTGTAAGAGGCTGCAACCTTGAAATGGCTGAGGAACAGAGCCTCTAATCTGATGTTCAGGGTAGGGGTTGTGATGTGACCTCTGAGCAACATGAAACATGTCACAAAAAGAGTCCATTTTGCAGCCACCATTTCCGCCATTTGAGAATTCTATCACTGGCTTAGGACTAGAAAAGCCTGCTGGGGTCATTCTATTTAACAAAATAAAATTCCTCTACAGTCTTTTATGTAACATAGTTTTTCTCCGTAAATTATTATATTATATTATTATATTATTATATATCTTCAACATGGCTAACATCAAGCCTTTGCTATTCCCAGCCAGCTATATTGCCAAAATAATTCTAGTGAAAGCGGTAAATATTAGTTGCACTATATCGATTAAACCAGCCAACAAGCTATTAATTTATTAAAATTTTTATTGGCCTGTTTTATAATTTACTTATTCATCGTGTTCCCTTAAGCCTTACGTTGGCATTCGGCCTTCGGTTCTTCAAGATGGATGCTCCGCCGTTCTCTTTTTCTTGCATCAAGTTTGAAGAATAGTTTTGCGAATTCTAGTTCAAATTTAATGTGATTTTATCCCTACGATATGGGTGTCTGGAGATTTTTCTTCCTTCTGTGAACTGAGAAATTTTGTTTGTCAACAACTATGGGTAAATGGCTGTTAAGCTGACGGTGAATTGATTTGGTAAAACAATTAAAATTAAACGGAAGCTCCATTCCACAGCTATCTTCATTCTTCAAATACTCAACCCAGACAAGTTAGGCTCAAATTGGTTAATTAATCAAAACTTAATTCCTTTTTTCTGTTTGCCTATACAGGACATGATTAGATTGTTTGGAACTCAGAATGAAGCAGAAAACCAGAAGACAAGAAGAATCTATTGCCGGAGACTCTTTCTTTGCTCTCATGTTTGCTGGGTCATATGGAAAGGACAAATGTAACAAAATTTATGTCCACCTTAGTGACTCAGAATTATTGAAGATATGAGACTCCAATCTCTCAAGAACCTCCTCCATCCCCAGCCACACCGTCCCTTCAACTAAATGGTACCCTAGTTAGCTAGTTTGTACATTTTTCTGGCCTTTTTTTCCGAACGAAAAAAAAATTAAATAATATTTTCGTTTCAAAAATTAGTTATGTATATTTTCAAGTAAACAAGAATGTATGTATTTGTAAAAATAATGAGTAAGGCATAGCATGGTTGCTAGATGGTTGGGTAATTTCCTAGGTTTGAACCCAATTGCGTGTATAGAAAAGACCTTATTGGGAGAGGTAAAATTCATTTTAGTGATCTGCTCTGGGAGGATTAGTCTCGACTGGGTGATATCCATTGATTTCTAACCAAAAATTGATTTAAAGAAAAAAAAACACTGTTTTCCCCTTATTTGTTTTGCTTATATGCATTTTAAACTGTATGTGAGTTCAAAAAGATAACCCAATTCTAACTTAGTATTGGTTTATCGTACTGTAATTGTGGAAGAGGTTAAGTAGTCATGTTTACATCTTAAGTAAGGAATAATTTTAAAAAGGTTTCTTTTTCTTGTTTACCATTAGCAAGCAATCTATTTGTTCTTTTTGGAAAATTTATAACTATTCCTATCTGACCAACCCCATCAAGGAGAACCACATCTATTAGGTTTTTTTTTTATAATATTATTCGTGACTTTTCAGTTGTAATTGTTGATTTTTGATGCCATAAAAGCCATTAGAAAAGCTTTCAGATTATATATCAATCTTCCTCATACATGACTTCTTTTAGCATCTGCTGAAAGCACTTTTGCCGCCTAGAAAATGAGAAGAATAAGAAAACATCTTTTCTTCTGCCTATTCATGGGGAAAAAGGAACTTATAATTAGTCATTATAAAAATCAATTTAAAATTTATATACACAAGGCAAATTAAATTATACATTACCCTAACATTTTAAAATTTTAGAGTGTAGATAATTTTTCTCATTATAAAATACTGACAACTAATCCCGCTAAAATTTTACATTATTTATGCAAATAACTCTTTTGTTGTTAATTTAATGTAATGTTATTTACAAATGTCTCATTAGTGAAATAAATTATTACTAATTAACGGCAAGAGATTATCTATACAATTTAGCAAATTAAAATACTTCTTTATCAAATTTTAAAAATAAAAGCGGCTATCGTGACAAAATAAAATTGATGAGCTGAGCACCAGAGAAGAGTTGAAAACTTTAGTTAAAATTTGTGGAATGTCAATATTTTAAAAAACATTGAAGATTAAAAACTTATTCTTGATCAAATTAAAATCATCATATAAGTTAAAGCGTAAAAAAGATAATGACATTCTTGAAAATGATTTACAAATATTTTTATTGAATTTTGTAAAGGACGACTGATTGGTAAGATTTTTGTTTTTTGAGTAGTGATCGGTAAGATTTTATAAATAGAATCATAATATAAAGAGTGTATAACTTATTTATAATTTCATATTTTATTTGATGTTTTTTAATTTGTTCATATTTTATTGATGTTGATGTGCATGATTGACATTGATTTTGTGAAGACACTTTAGAGAGTGTTCCAATGGTAACATATAAATGCATGCTGTTGTCAGCCATATTCTGAAACTTGCAAAGTAAGAAAAGAATAAAGAAGCCTGCGTGTTGAAGGAAACCACTCACCTAAGTTCCCACCAATTTTTCATCAACCAAACCTATTAATATTTGATGAAACCTATAAATCATGGCATAATTACAAGGGCTTTTAAAGGAGGATATATTAGCAATTTAGTGATGAAATTAGTTAAAGCACAAAATTCCATCACTAATAAATTATTGATGGTTTTTTTTGTGTGTGACAAAATTAGAAAAATCTATTACTCATAATTCCTTTTATATTCCCCTAGTTGGTGCATGTATTAGATTGCTTAATTTTCATATATTATGTTTTAGATATCGATTTATGCCTTTATTTTAACAATAATTAACATCCCATATTCAAATTATACCATTAGATTGCATATTATCTCTTCATTAACCAAAGTACTATATATATGTATGTGAATTCTCTATTCCACAGATTCTGTGTTTTAATTTGAATATTTTGTTATATATTACAATATTGATGGATAGATAAATAGCGTAAAAAAAGGGATAGATGGCAAAAATAATTTTTAACATGAGGAAAAGATGTGAATTTCAAACTTAAATATATCTCTTGTGTTATTTTCTCGTCAGATATATGGACAGAGATTATTCGATTTAATCATAATTTAGCATAATTTTAGAGGGAAGTGCGTGTTGTGAATTTCATTTGAAATATATAGGTTTGATTATGGTTTAGACTGTCTCATTATTTTGTATCTTCGTATATGATTTTTTTTTTTTTTGAGAAATGAAAGGGTATATTTTTTATGCATTATATTTCCTTTGAAATAAAAGATATTAAAATTTGATTCAAAAAATAAAATGGTATAATCAATTAAATTCAATTTAAACAGGAGAAAATTTTAGGTAGAGTTGTTCACAGGTCAAGATGCTACTCAACCAATTAATAATTTGTCCGGATTTTGGTATATATGGTATAAGAAGACAAAAAAAAAACTTGAAAAGATTTAACAATAAAAAATTATTTATTGAAGCTTCTCTTGAAAAATGTTAAAAATAGTGGGATAAGACATAAAAATAGAGGCTTATTTAGTTTCTTGACATAAAAATACAGGCTTATTTAGTTTCTCATTTTGAAAACAATTTTTTGTTTTTTTTTAAATACTTGTTTAATAATTTGTTTTTACTTGGTTGTTTTAAAAACATAAACACAGTAACATGTTTTCAAAAAACTAAAAAAACCAAAACAATTTGAGATATTTCCTTATTTTTATTTTTATATTATTTTTTAAAAAAAAATTGGAGAAATCTTCTTCTTTTCTTAGTTTTTGCCCACAATATATCACTTTCTGGTCACCCCTTGTTTTTGTATTTTTTGTTTCGAATGTGATTTTTTTTAAAATAACTATCCAAACATATTTTTTTATTCTCAAAACTTATTTTAAAAAAACTATTTTATAAAACTATTTTGAGAACAAGAAAACAAAAGAAACATAAAAAGGCAAGCTCATAATATTGTCTCATTAACTAACGGTTCAATTCAAGACACACACAACTGTGTGTTAAGCAGGTGTGAAGTAAGAATCAACAAACACAATATATATCACTTATTAAATAATATATTTTTCTAAAATGTTTGTATAAAGAAAACATGTTTAATTAACCTCCCAATTCCATCTTTATATTCTATGGGATGTGTGGTAGAAAGCATGGGTTAAGAATATCAATCCATGTGACTGGTTATTAACAAGTTCATCGATTATATGATATAGCCTTGTCAGGGACTCATAGCCCATGAATAGGCCATGAGTTTTTTCTCATTACTTATAAGAGGTGTCATTGCCAACAAGTGGATCCCAATCCTAGATCAAAGGATGAACTTGATATGTACTTTAAAATAAATAATAATAATAATAAAAGAAAAGAACTCTGTTTTGATGGCAATGGATTGTTCTTGTTGAGCAATAGAAGTGCATATCTGTAGAGAATTAAATTGAGTGGATTGGATTTTTGAAGCATTTAGATTAGATTCTGAATTTGTCATGCCCAAGAGAATAATCAACTGGAGTTATTTCCATAAATGACCAAGACATAAAATTTAGAGAGAGAAAAATTATACTCCTCCGATTCTTAACATAAGATATAATTATTAAGTTGATTTTGGTCTTAAATATAAGACCTATTTCTCACATTTATTAATTTTTTTTAAAACCATCTTATTGATATTCTTTCAACCATAATCAAGTAGAAGGAAAAGAGAAAATATTAAGAAAATTGACTATAGTGTTTTAGGGAAAAAAACATGTTATATTTCTTATAATTAACTAATTTACCTAACTCTTTTAATCAAATCAAATCAGTTAAATAGATCTTATATTAAGAACCGGAAGAATACTATTTATAAATTACTACAAACATTATAATTCTTTTAGAATTTTATGTAATACAAAGGAATACATATATATATAAATTGCTTTTTTTTTTAATGTGGTTATCTGACTAGGTTATATTATTGAATTCGATACCTTATGCTTAAACAGTGAAGACTCCATATGAACACCTATTGGGATGTGTATTTGTGTATTGCTTTGATTATACTCCTTCGATTATTAAGATAAGATCTAATTATTAAATTGATTTTGGTCTTAAATATAAGACATATCTCTCATATTTATTAATTTTTTTAAAGTCATCTTATTAATACTCTCTCAACCATAATCAAATAGGAAGAAAAGGGAGAATATTAAGGAAGCTGATTATGGTGTTTAAGGAAAAAAAAACATATTATATTTCTTCTAATTAACTAATTTACCTAACTTTTTTAGAACTGGAAGAGTACTATTTATAAATTACTACAAACATTATAATTCTTTTAGAATTTTATGTAATACAAAGGAATATATATATATATATATAAATTGCTTTCTTTTTTTAATGTGGTTATCTGACTAGGTTGTATCATTGAATTCGATACCTTATGCTTAAACAGTGAAGACTCCATATGAACTCCTATTGGGATGCGTATTTGTGTATTGCTTTGAAAAAGCACACAAAGGTGAAGGTGATTGGGACATCATTGGAGAAGATACGGAGAATTTAATGGCTGGAAAGTTTAGGAATATATACACACACACACACATACATATATAGGAGACAAGTCACACCTTCCCTGTATATGAATGCTCCTTTCTTGCTCCTCACTTCTCTCTTATAATCATCATCACTTTAATTATTATGGTGCTCAGAATATTCACCTGCACCTCATCCTGTGGAAAAAACATGAACAAGCTTTCATCCATTTCGAATTTAATCTTTTCTTCTTCTTTTTTTATAATTCTTTTTAATGTTCACCTGTATCTGCCATGTTGCTTTAAGGTATTCTGGTTTTCTATCATGTCTCCATTGTCTCCCCAACTTCCTTGTACGAATGGGCTATAAATTTTCCAGAGATAGATTCACAACTTTCCGCAAAATCTTTATGAAATGATTAGATTTCGATCTCTTGCATTGCAAGAACCCTAAAAGTATCTGGTTTGATTTATCTCTGATCTCAAGCAATAACACAGTGCTGTAATAAGTTGTTAAAACAGACACACATGATGTAGATCGATCCCAACCTCGTAAAAATCGTATTTATTCGAATGAAAAAAATGGATAGAATTAGCTTATATATGGTATTTAAACAAACACAGGTGAATTAAATGGTATTTTCGTAACGATCCTGACAACCCATCAAAAAGAAAACGTTTTGGATTTAAACCTGACGTTGATATGCTTATATGCACTGTTAATGTTTAATTTGATGGTATGAAAACAAAAACTATTTTACCCTACTATGCTGAAAAATAATATAGTAATTGATAATGAATTAAGAGGGTTTATATTTTATCTTAATCGTTAAAATTAAAATCTTGTTTTATTATAATTTTTAAGTGAAAATAAAATGCATAATAAAAGTCATACAATCTTCTTCTTCCTTTTCTATTAAACGGAAAAAAAAAAAAGGACTTCTAGTTCTAGTCAAACAGGATGAATGTATAATAATTCTTTTAACATTTCAACAATATGCATGTGCACTCTTTTCAGTCAATATGAAAAATTATAAAAATATTTTAGATAATTGACCAAAAATAAAAAAGAAGAAGAAGATTTCTGAGATTAAAATTTATAATTCAATGAGAAAATACCCAATTACTTATGACACGCCATCACCGAGTGCAATTTATATAATTAATAATCGAATCTCATGAGATAATGAGGTTTAATTAATTAAGAATGATGAAATAGACATTAAATTTGCTATTAACTAAAAAAAACTCGTGACAATTGATTAAATCTATCATATGCATGGATCATCCATTATATATATAAAACTATAAAATAATTATAATTCCCACACCAACCTTGAATAGAAGAAGTGATGTACGAGATTTTGGTTTGAGAATTTCACCAACACACGAACACCATATGAACACCTTAATTTTTTCCCCATTCCAACCACTTGGTATTAGAATTCAAGTAGGACTCTAACTAACTCGAGTCGACTTCCATACACACACAACTAATTTAGTAACTTTTTTAATTTTTCTAAAATAATTAATTAGTTTTTATATTAAGAATCGATAGTATAATAGTTAAATATACCAGATATATCATTAAAAATATATATTTAAAATAAACATGTCTTCATTTAACAAATTAATTTATATCTTTGATTACGCGAATCTCCGGCAGTACTTCACTTTTTTTTTTTTTTAAGAATAATCAAACCTGAGTAATAATTTATGTAAGATTTATACAGAAATTCTATTATTTATAAGTTATGACTAATATATGATGAGATTTGTGTCAAATTTAAAGGAAGTATCGGCTCAGTATAGTTTTTCTTAAATTGTTATTTAGTTCATAACTTTCACATTCTTAAATGTTTGGTCTGTTTTTCTTTCCACTCTAATAAAAAGACTATATCATATGAAGACGTGAACCCAAAATTAAAAGATTCAGAAGATTTCACCACGTGTTGTAATTTCACGAAAGGAAAATGCAAACCCTAATCATACACTACATCCGGTCCTAATTATAAGAGCTAACTGACTAATTTGAGGAGATCAAGAAAAGAAGTTAAGTTAGTTATTTGTAATAAATATGTGTTGTCTTCCTAAAATATCCTTGCTAATCAAGTATATTAGTTAGAGCTACTATTGTTAGAAGAACTACTTTGGGAAAAAATACAGAAATATGAGAGACAAAATAGATTGAGATCTCATATTTAGGATCAAAATAAAAATCAAACGAGGTCTTATATTAATGATCAGAGGTAGTATATTCCTATTATAGCTTTCTTTGCCAATTCAGTGTAAAACATAAACTTAATTACTATACAAGAAAGTGGAATATAATATAACAATGAATCTGTTATATCTTGTAAGCACAAGATAAGAAAAAGGCAAATAATTAGCAATATGTATAGCTATAAACCCAATAAACCTCTAGTTAATTATCCCAAAGAATAAACCTAAAGAAGAAAACAAGTAACTTAAACAACAACAAAAAACTAATTAGAAGTTAAAAGTCACAGGATATAATCAAAATCTAATTAGTCCTTCCATATATATAATTAATCAGACATTCCAGAGAGTACTGTTACAAATTGATACATGCATTAACCAAAATATATATGAATTATATATATAACAAATTTAGCTACCTAGTTTATTATATCACTGCTTTTCATCCTTGTTCATCATCACCTGCGATGGTACGAAAATGTCCTGAAGAAGTCCATTGTCTCTTAACAAACTACCTTCATCCATTCTAGACCCTAGTCCCCCAAAACCTGCTGATCTGTTACCGTTATGGTACGAGCTCAGAAACGACGTTGTCCTCGTCGATGAGTTCATATTCATGTAGCTGCCAGATCCAATACTGTTCAATATGGATGAACTTGAGTTGTACAACAATGGCGATGAAGAAGAGGACGACACGTTATTCATGCTCTGCTGCTGGAACTGACGATGATCATAATGCTGTGGAAAACCAAAACCACCACCGTACCCTACAAGGCCGGACCGAGTCGCCGCCGCCGCCGGACTTGGGTGCTTGTGCTGCCCCTCGTACGTCGTCACCACGATGGTAGGGTCCTCCGACGACCGCTCCACCCTCTTCTTCACGCCGCAACCAACCGTCGTGCATCGATAATAGCTCCTGCAAATCCACATTTTTCACTTCAGCTCACCATTTTCTTGCCCCGCAAGGAATCAAAACCAGTTAAAAACAAAACAAAAATGATAAGTTTTCCCAAAAACCTACATTGATATTGCTAAAGAATATATATATATATATATAAGCAAATCATAGTGAACAAAAACCAAACATTTCAAGCTTCATGCAGTGCCCAGGACTTGTCCATCTGGTCAGATCAACATGCCATAAAGTATATGGTTTGAAAAAATGTAATGTGTGTCGAACATGTATATAAATATGTGTGAAGGCATGAATATAGAAAAAGGTGAGATTTTTAGAGAGAGAAAGAGAGGCCTAGAGAGAGGATTGAGGTTGAAGGAAATGGAACCTGGGAAAAGGGCTGTTCTTGACAGCTTTCTGGCCGTACTTACGCCACCTATAGCCATCGTCGAGGTGATCAACTTCGCTTTTCGTCATGAACGCAAATCTTGGCTCTCTTTCCTTCTTTTGCTTCTTCTTTTTTGGTTTCACCCTAATCATAATGAGAAAACGTGCCATACTCATTTTCAATTTCTTCACTACTCACCAATATTCAATAATGCCTTTTTTGGCCCTTTTCGCTTTTCAAATAGTGTCAAGTTATAGTACTACTCAACAACAAAAACAGAACATAGAGCAGACCTTAACAACGCGAAGCACAGAGGTAAGATCCATAAGAAACCGATCCAACCTTAGATTTTCCGACATACTTAAATGCAGTCACCCGAAGTAAATTCAATTAATTTTAGACATCCGTCCCTTTTCTTCATTATTTATCAGAGACTTTGACAGAGAAGAGATTTATAAAAATGACATAACCATAAGTCAATTGTTGTTAATTAAATGAAAACTTACAGTTCCTTAGATTTGTCTTGTCCTTGGTCGCCTCCTCTTCCTCCGTCGTCCACATCTTCATCCTCTGCTTTGCAACTCTGCTGTTCTTCCTCCATACTGCCGTGGCCGCTGGCGGGGGCGGCGCCGTCGTTGGACGAGGACGAAAGCGAGGAGGAATTCGGGGAGGCCGGAGTGTTCAGCACCCCACCTGAGCTCGCCGGTGACGGGAAGGAGGACTGGTGGGCTACATCAGCTGCGACGGACGATGCCGTGGTAGTGGCGGCCGGAAGCCAATCGAACAAAGAGGGAGTACCGTAATCTTGGACACCCAGCATGTCCATGAACCCAAAGGAATTACAATTGCTGGTCTTGTCCTCAGGTTGATGATGAGGATGACGTTGATCGTAGGACCCAAACGGTGACGTATCGAAGAAGGTGGAGAAAGAAGCTTGGTTGATCAGAACATCATCAGAAAATGTCGCTGCCATGGCAGAAGAAGAAGAAGAAGACGAGTTGAAGTCTGGTGCTCTCTTGTGATTCTCCTCCATTGATTTCTAACTTAGGCACATATTCTTCATTTTTTTGTTCTGAAAAAAAAAATTGTTTCAAGTGTGTGTGTCGATATTGTAATTTTTTTTTAATATTTATTAGCGGAAAAATTTTGAGAAAGGGATAATATAGGGATTCTGTTATTCTCTTGTGTGTGAAAGGACTTTTCGGGTTGGGAATTTGGACAACAGGTTGGCGAAGGGAGGTTTCCCACCAGGGGGTGACCGGCACGTGTCGGTGACAGAGCGTCCGGAGAATGGCGACGCGACGGTGATGGCAATTAATGTGATGGAGGACATCGGAAGGGGCCCGCGGCTGCTCTACGCGTGTTGTTGACCGGTAACCGGATGGGTGTGAACGGGGGATTGTTTCTAGTTTTACACGTGGCTGCGAATAAAATCTTGGAGCATAGCTCTGGTGCATGTGATCCTGCCTCCTGTTCCCTATTCTCCTTCACCCTCATTCATTCCGCCCCTTCGCGGCCCATTTTTTATTTTTTATATTTGGTGATATATTGATAAACAGTTCAAATTTTTCAAAAAAAAAAATTATATTGATAATTATATTTTTCTTTCATTTTTCCTTGTAATTTTACCACAGATTATTTTTCGTCATCAAGTAAATATAGTATTTCGGTGGGCATAGAGGGGTGTGAATGCGGTTCAATTCTACTGTGATGTCTAACGGCAATGATTATTTAGGGCTCTATAAATAATCTCAGATAAAACAAAGTGAATAACTATGATTAAAAAGGAACAGTTTCAATGCTCATGTGAACATATTAAACTTATCAGATTTTAACTTTTTATATCTAGTTTGAACGGTCTAGATTTAAAATTTTTAATTAATTATTTTTAAATAAAAAAATATTTTTGTAAAGAATAATAGTTAAAAGATTATATCTATTCTAGATTCTATATATATATATATTAAAATAATTATTTTGAATAAATAAAAATTAAAAAAAACTAAATCTAAACCATCCAAATGAGATATGAATAATTCAGATCTGATGAGTTTACAGTGCTCATCAAAATGATGAGCACCAAAACTGGTTCCGATTAAAAACTACTCTGTTTGGTTCAAAACATACGATCAACTTTATCCATTTATGTTTATAAAAAGAATTGATTAAAATCAATTTAAAACAATAAACATATAAAACATATATTTTTTCTCAAATATATTTTTATTAATAAAAAAAAGTAAAATATGCAATAGATAAATCAAAGAATAAAGAGAATATGCATAGGTAAAATAAAAAAAATCCATTAAATATTTCGACAAAAATAAATATTATCTTATAAAAAAAACCCTCCAATAAAATTTAACTTATATTTTAAATGGGAGAGTATAATACAGTGACGTCACTCATGGGAGGTAGAAAAATTGAGGATCTTCAACCGGAGAAGTTGACTATTCCAATATACTCTTTCTATCATTTTTATAAAAATATAAATAATCGAAATATATAGATTAAAAAAATTAATTTAATTAATTTAAAATAATAAATATAAAAAATTTTAGGATTAAACTGCAAATTTCTCACAAAAGTTTTCACTAAAAAATAATGGATATCCTAAAATTTATTTGGATGCAAATTTATTTTACAAGTTTAAAATTGTAGCAATTTTTGCCTCTTGCTATTAAAAAAATGACATTGACTATTAAAATAATAATATTAACGATTAATATTTTTATCAGTAGAAGATAACATTGTTACAATTTTAAACTTCTCGAACAAATTTACACTTAAAAAACTTTCAAATACCCCATACTTCTCTTCTAAGTAGAAATTTCTAAAACAAACTTATGTGTGCGCATCGAATTGATAAATAGTGATATTGAATTTGAAACCAACCTCATTGAAATTATATATACTACTTCCAAAATACCTCCGATTCTTAATATAAGAACCAGTTAACTAATTTAAATAGATTAAAAAAATTAATTAAGTTATTTATTTGTAATAAATAAGTATTGTCTTTCCTAAAATATTTTTGCTAATCAAATATATTAATCAGAACTACTATTATTATAAGAACCACCTTAAAAAAAGATAAATATAAGAGACAAAATAGATTGATGCTTTATATTTATGATCAAAATAAAATTCAAATAAGTTCTTATATTAAGGAGCGGAGGAAACACACGAAATCGAAAAACTATTATTCAATCCTTAGTATGAAGTCGTAGATATTTTCCCCCGAAATTAAAATTATTTTTCTAGAATTTACACTATGCTTAAACGTGAAGAAAAAATTGATAGAATGAAAAGGTTACAATGTATGAAATCTGGAAAAAAATACAGAATCGTAGACTTACTGATTTATTTTAATTTTTTATATTTATGGCATTATTTTATTATTACATATATTTCACATTATATAAACTTGAGCCAGCTGGTGATTTTGAAATATATGTATGATGAAGGGAGAGAAGGTAAGAAAATAAAATGAATGCGCAAATAAAAAAGCCATCAAATCAATTAATAAATCACATCAATGAGAGCAGTCAAATATGTACCTTCATTGTCAACAAAAACAAAACTTATGTACCGTCATTTTAATTTGGTGGAAACTTGGGCCATTCCTCTTGTTTGCTTCATATGTAATTAATGTATTTATATTTTTCACTTAATTCAGGTTCAGTTTCTTATGCTCTTGTACTTTTAGATTTAAAATGAAAATTTAAAATAATGTTTAAACTAACAACCTAAAAAGTCAAAAAAAAAAAAAGATTTAAGAATATAAAATTTCAACTGTTCAAATAAAATGTGCACAACCTAAAAGGTGAGACCAATATACCACAATTGAAATAAACTACTTAAATATGTCAAAAACATTCACAAAGAAGCCTCCAACATTTTTAGAATTTTTTTCAGCTCTTATATGTCAGAAAAATTTGTTTTCGTAGCAAAATATCCTCACCGTTATCTATCGTTAGGTTTGACTATTAAATTATGTGGTTTGACCAGTATTTTTAATAGTCAAATTTAATGACCAATAATAACGCATGACATAAATACTATGAAATAAAACTTTCAAGGTATTTAAGAGTAAAAGAAAAACTTTCAGGGTGCTGAGTGCTCTGTCATAGATATTTCCTAGATATTTAATCACCTTGTCCCCACCTCAATTATATCTAAAAGGAAATTGGAGATAACATCTTTCTGTAGCCGATTTCATTATAAAACTAAAATTAGTTATTTTTATAGTTAGTTACAAACATTTTATCACTAATTCTATCGCCAAAATTTTTGCAACAAAATTAATTTCATCATTAAATTTTATTACTAAATTTCATCACTAATTTTTGTTAATAATGAAATTAGCTACTAAATTTTGTTTCGTCACTAATTTTGTCAATTATTACATGATTTTTATAGTGGTTCTCCACTTACATTTCTACGTGCTTGCTTTAAGTTGTGATGCTTGCTGCCAAACAATTACTTTTTTTAATTGTTGCTTATTGTTTGAATACCTGCTTTAAATTAGAATAAGCCTAATGTATTCGCACAAAATTCAAAATAAGTCATATAATTTAAGTATTTACTTTAGTTTAGACCCCCTTTTGGGTATAATTATAAATGCATAATGTTCATATAATTGATTAATCAATAAGCATGAAGTTGATTTAAAATAAGTGATTTTAATTGTAAAAGAATTTAAATTTGTTTTCTTAAGAGGAACAGGGTACTTAATCATTAAGATACATAACGTTTTTCATGTTGAAGACAAAATTCAGTCAAAAGACTGTTCAAGACAAAACTCACAAAACAATGGCAATGTGAAAACACATTTAACTCACAAAACAATGGCAATGTGAAAACACATTTATATATAGAAACATCATATTGGTACGATTAATTAATTATTGTCATTCTTTTTATTTTTTTTTTCTTTTTTTGTTTCTTTGCATCCTTCAGCTTCTGCGTCCCCAAATATTGCAGTACATAAAAGAACTCTGACGTACTATTCCTTACATATCCTTTCTTAATAATGTCAATAACCACTCACCAATTAATGGATCCCCCACAAACTTTTTGGCTGGAGAAAATACTAGTTCTGCTATTAAATATAAAATCAAGTTTATAGTGCATATTATATTATAAACTATATTTTATATTTAGAACCAAGGATAATATTATTTGTACAAACAAACAAGTCATATACTTAGTATACCTCTTGTCCTATTTATAAATCAAGAAAGATAATGTTTTGATTTTATTTATATGTTGTATCATTAAATTTTTTGTATAAATAAATAAGTTTATCCTTTATTTATTATATATATTAGTATTACTATTATTTTCTTAGTAAACATATGTATTAATAGACCTAAGCGTCAGTATGGCACTTCATTCGATAAATAAATGTAATAAAAATTTTGTCTCCTAAAACATAAAAATATTAATTATAGTAAAGCTAAACGGAAGTTTGCATCAAATTATTATTTTTAATATTTCACATATGATTCGAATTTAAAGACTTACCAAAGATAGCTAAAATTACAAGACCAAACTCGAAAAGCATTTAGATTCTTAAAAATTAAATCACCAACAAGTTTTTGTTACTAATAATAATATTCAAACTCATGTTTTATAAGAATACGAATCTCATTATTTTTATTGGTTGGATCAATTTTTTTAATGCTTAGGGGGAGTTTGGCAGCTTATATAAGCAATTAAAAAAGTACTTTTTATACTAATTGAGATAATACTTCTCTTATATATTTAGTTGAGATTTTATAAAATTATATACTTTTCCAGTCATTAATATAAGACTTAATTAGATAGTTACTATTAGTCTTTTATATAAGATCTATTTTATATATTTATTAATTTTTTTTAAATTAACACTATTGATATCCTTCAAATAATAATCAAATAGGAGATAAAAGAAGAAAGATTAAAAAAATACTTTAAAATATTTTAAAATATATATTATATTAACTTATTTAGTTAATAATTTTAATATATTTAAATTAATTAATTAAATCTTATATTAAATAAGAGGAACATTTTTCACAAAAACTAATCCAAAT